TTGAGTAATAGGATCACCGCATTTTGTGAAACACCAGAGGACTAGATTAACCCTCAGATCTTATTTTATGCGATCTTGCATTGGCAGATTGCCACATGCTCAAACTGAAAGGTCCTTTACTGCAGGTTGAATATTCCTATCCTCTGTTGTCAACTACCAATTCAACAAAAGAATAGTTGATGTCACTATAAGTTAAACTAATGGCCTTATTCTGGACAGTCACATAATTTCACCTCAAGCTCTATGTTTGTTCATGAAATGCAATTAAGGGCAAGCTTTCTAGTATGGATATTGAGAGGATATCTACAGTGTTCCCACCCATGCCCCCTTGTAGAATGGTAGCTGTATATATCTACAGAGAATCAATTGATCAAATATATTTCACACAAACACAACCAGGACAAGCATGCACAAGCGTGAACATCCTCAGGTTACTATGTTATGTAATAGAATGAATACACCGAAATTATGGGGATATTAATAGTATTGTCAAGGGAGCAACAAAGAAGGGATCAACTTCAATGGTCCTGGCTCACAATTTCACATGGAGTTGACAGGATAAAAACTTCTTCATTAAAATGGTGGAACACGAAAGTGAGAATTTCACATGTAGTTGACAGGATAAACACTTCATTAAAATGGTGGAACAAGAAATCCTCTGCAGCTTCTTTAAGCCATAATTTTCAGCAGGTTCCGGTAAGGGATAGGAGTATATTCCAAAATCCAGACGCTGACGGTGCAAGAAAGAACATAGGTTATGATGAGCTCAAGGAGAGTGGCATTCATTTCTTTTACTTATTGATGAGAAATGGGTAATGATGAGCTCAAGGAGATTGACATCAATACGATCCCTTTAGTTATGAAAATGCATGTCACAAATTTGTATGGGTTAGCCAGCTAGTTTGAGCTCAGACACCGAAGTTTTTTTACCTTGCTAGAGCTCTGCACAAGGTCTATTCCGTAGTTCATCCTCAACATAAGGGGTTCTGACACTCATGTTCATGCATCATGTGTAGGATGATGAAGATTGTTGATCACTTCATCTACCACAACTTTAGTAAATCAGATTGGAGCTACTTTCAAACCAATGGGTTTCTTAATAGGTTATGCCTAAAGAGATAAAATCACTCCTAAAAGGTTGACAGAGGTAATTCTTTTGGAAGATTACCCAGATTGCAATCTTTTAGGAGTTTTGGAGTAAAGAATGATCATTTGAGCGAATACGGCAATATTGTGTCAATCAAAGAGAGGATTCAAGACTTGATCATCTCTTCGAAATTAGCAAGAAGCAAGTTACAGGGTAGTAAGAAAAGGAAATTGGAGGAAAATCACTCTACATGAGCACCAGATACCAAGATGTGATGCTGTAAAAAGATGTGATGCTGTAAACCATTGTCGAGGAAGTCAGATTTTTATGGTAGCTCTAGAGTCGGGGGGAATCCAAAACAGCGCGGGTGCATCGCTTAACCCTATTTCTACAACACTTGGTTGTCTAAGATTCCTCAAAGGCAAAGCCAAAGGCTTTGCTAACAGGGATTGAAGTCTGCTAGTAATACTCCCCTTTATTAGAGAAAGGCAATTCACTAAACATGATCAACAAGCAAATGCAACATGCAGTTCCCTACCACCAAAAGAATGACAGATATTTAGGAAGAGATTTTTTAGTTTTACTGTCATAAATCACCACCTTCAATTTCACCATGAACTTAGAGAGGATGAACACCGACCCTTGGGCAAGATCATTAAAATGGAATAAATGGAATCTCAGCCCACTCCCACAAAAGGTATCACTTACATACACAATATTCCTATCTCGCACACTTGCAATGTAGCTTGATGTATGTCTTCTTCATGTCAACTGCAACTCTGCAAGTATTGATTACCCATCAAAAAGAAAAAAGTAACGAGGGTACATAACCTTCTAAATCCTATCTTGCAATAATGCAATACGGAACCAATCAACAAGACAAGGTTTCATCTAAATTTGGTTTTGAAATGCAGTCTTTATCTAAATTCACCTTCACAAAATGCCATTCTGCTTAAATAGTATATCCAATGCTCCCAATTCTAATATTCGCAAAAGAATATTAATAATTGCATTACCTGTTCCTTTCTGAAGAACAAGACTTAACTATCACAAGTGCAATATTCCCAGTGCAGTTTTCCAATAAGTTGATTGATATATAGACTTAACTATCATAAAAGATTCTCTCTTTGGTAATTTCAGGAAGGTTGCCTAATTTCTAATCCTTATTCTAGTTATTCATAAGGAAAATAAGAAAACCTTCAAAAGATTGTTCCCATTACCTCCATCCAGCAATCATGCTATTAGAAACTCATCTAGCCCCAGCAACTCTGCTCTCAAACCAACAAATCTCACATTCTGTTTTTCCTTTTTTAGTAAGGAAGCCTATGGGTGTAGGGGTGGCAATTGGGTCACATCGACCTATAGGGCTGGGTCCCGGTCTGGGTCCAGGTACATGTTTTGGACTCAGCAGGTCGGGTGTGGTTCCAAATGACTTGGACCTAACCCGGGGGCTCCAGGTTCAGGCCCGGCATGGAACCTATCAGGTCAGGTCTTAAGTTGACCGGTATAATAAAACATATTAAAAATGTACATAATTTATACTATAATTTTTTTCTAATTTCTAGACCTGGGTTCGAGTCGGGTACAGGTCAAAATGACTTGAACTCAACCCGGGTCCACGTCCAAGTCACTCGGACCCGTACCCGGCTCTAGGTCGGGTGTTGGTCCATGCAAAACTTAGTCGCATTAGGTCCGGGTCGACCCAGACCTGATCGATCCATTGCCACCCCGATATGGGTGCAAGCCATCCTTGTATTAGTGACGAGGCATGCTAAGTTGATACGTAAATTCCACAAAGTCCATATGACGAGATGAGAAGGAAATCATGAAATCAATGCACCCTACTCCAATTACAAGATCGTTTGAAAGAAGTATCACTGTAGTACCTTTTTTTCAAAGTTCAAACTATATTTAAAATGCTACATAACAAAGTAGGTGATGCAACTCCAAATGATAACCTTGAATGGGGTCAAAAAATTGATGACAAGCACACCTATCGAAAATTTGAAGTTCCTTGGATGGGGTTGCCCCAAAGAGCAATAGGCTACCATGTCTATAAATGATCTTAACCCAAGTCATCTAAAATCCATAAATAAAGCTCTAAGACCCTTAAATGGAGAGTGTAAAATAAAAGAATGCCCTGCTTGTAACTGCATGTCAACAGGAGGCCAGCAGCGGGGACCAAGGCAATAGAGAAAAAATTGTTCTACTTCTCTTGTGCAAAACCTGAATATGAATACCATTACAAGTAATAACTTGGGGTAGTTGTAGCATTTCATTAAATCAACTAGCATGAGGAAATTAGGTCAGGGAATTATTCATAATTCCCCATATCCATGATATTTGCTAAGAATTTTAGGTATCTTTAAAGGTAGACTGGGGGTAATCCTACAACAGTGTTGTTGCTCAGGTCACTTGGCCTCAGAGATAATCATGTGCACTCTGGTTATTATCACACACAACTTTTGCATGGTATATGGCGCAGAGACAGGGCACCCAACATCTGTTCTCAACAACGTAAGATGACCTATAGCTCCAAATGAACATTTATCAAGGTACAATAGGCTCCAAATGAACATTTATCAAGGTACAATAGCTCACAATCCATCGGAAAGGAAGGTAGCTACACCAGCTGCATACCATAGACAATCCACAGGTTAGCCATGATATAGTTTGCCTTTCTAAAATGAATGTATGGTATCACATGTAGTCCGAGCTAGCCATTTTCCTTCCTTTAAGTAACATTCAGTTAAACAGTGCTGCTTCAGCAGGCCTACTCACATCTTATCGAGGCATACTTGGTGAGACACCAACACAGTAGCTGACACCCTCGCTGAAGCCCTCGCTAACCAGGAACTACGCAAGACGAGACTCAAGGAACCCTTTTGCACTTTTATGAGCTTCTGGTGCCTTGTGTTTTTTTGTTTTAAGGTTTATCTTGTGACATGGATGAATAGATTTATTGAGAAATGGATCACACTAATGTATAGAGCAACTTTCCAAAAGGTTTTTGTATAGCGCACCCAAGCTGTGGGCCGCATATTTCTTGTACTCTATATACTTCTCTGTCTCAACAAAGTTAACAGTTTAAAAAAAAAAAAATTGGAGATTTTTAGTAATATCAAACTTTTTGGGCTAGCAATATTTTACATAAAATTACAATAGAAGGTCTATAAAACCAAACAGTGAACAAAAAAACCTTCATCAAGTCCACAAAACATCATCATCATCAAAGCCTCTTTCCCAACTATTTGAGGTCGGCTACAAGAATCCCAGTCCGCTATTCTACTCTATCAAAGGTCATACCCTCAAGAGACCATAAGTCTCCATATCTTTTTTCACTACTTCCAAACATGTTCTTTTGGGCCTACCCCTTGCCATTTTTTAACGTTCCACTTGAACTAACTCGCACCTCCTAACAGATGTTGTACTGGGTTTGCACGGCCATCCCACTTAAATCTACTTTCTGCCACTTAAATCTACTTTCTCTCATCTTATCACTTATTGAAGTCACACCTATGTTCTCCCGAATGCATTCATTTTGAATTCTATTCATTCTTGTCTTGTCACTCATCCATTTCAACATCCTCATCTCAACTACACTCATCCGATGGGTATGTTGTTTCTTGACCACCCAACAATCCGCCCAATATTTTTTTGATCAAGTCCGCAAAACACTTGATCAAAAAAATAAGTAAATATTCTTGCTGCATCTTGTAAAAGAAGAACAAAAATGAAGTCCTTTTCCATATCCATAACAAGATCAACTAGTCCTTAAAGAGAATGTGACTAAATCAAGTCAATCAAATATAGACTATGTACTGGCCAAAAAAAAGATTCAAAAACAGAAAGAAATAAAAAAATAAAAATTATCATACACAAAAATCATGGCACAGGACCAACAAAAATGCACCTGGCGTATATATCGAAGGATCCGGCTATCAGGCGCAAGACCACCAATATGAGATGTGGAAACAAAAGCAAATCCACGATTTGGCCTCAATGAAGAGTCCCTCCTGTCAATCTTGAATGTGTACTTCAAAGATGAGAGAAGACTATGCCCTAGATGCCTCCTTATTGATTTGGAGGATATATGAGAAGGATCAGTTAGTGTGCGCCATGTAAGATTGTAGGACAAATCATGGTTTCTTGTTGAAACCAAACCAATCGAAAGACCCATGAGCTGTTCTTTGTAAGAAGAAAATTTCAACCAATCTTGAGAAAGCACTGATAATCTGGCCACTACAGGGGCTGCCCATCCTTTGAATTGAGGCAAAAGTAGGCCTGTGCTTATCTCTGCAGTTTGACTCTGATCCCAACCATAAGCAATAGAAGTATCCCAAATGTCACCAAACCCAAGAACGTTCTTCAACTTCAATGATCCTTCCAAGGACCAAGATCGAGCCTGCAGAAAAGGAAAAAAAGAAATGATACACTAGATATCAATTTAGCAAAAATATATATTATATTTTTGGACAAAAAAAAAAATTTGATGAGTCATTTCCAAAAAAATTAAAAAATGAAAAAAAAAAAAAAAGAACAAACCAGTACTATTATACACATCAACAGTCACCAAGTTAGGCTAAAGAAACAAGAGTATTTCAAGATACTAAAAACAAGGAACAAGTTTTAGTATAATTAAATCACATGCTGAAGAGCCACCATTTTCTATAAAAGTAACGAAGTCATGCACTAAAGCATCGGTTGTGGGAACTGAGGAAATTCCAACATTCCCAAATAACACTATAATGTCAAAAGGTGATAGCACATAGAAGACAAAGACTTGAGGAAATTACTCCCTATACTTTGGGGGTTTGTACCCAAGCACCATTGTTTCAAATCAATAGACACAAGAAAAAGTCTAAGAAAAACAATGACAACCCGCATTCCACAGTAAGAGGAATGAGGATCAAGGAGGGAGATCAAAAGTTGAGATATTCAAATTGGTGTCAGTAAATCCGCACCCAATCTGACAGGAGCGCAGAAGTGCAATAAAAAGCAAATTAAACAAGAGGAAAAAATAATTTCATTTTTGGAAAAAAAAAAGAAGGAGATTATCAAGGAACAACACAATGGGTGAGTCAAATCAGGTCTACCAGAAAACCCAATGAAAATAACAGACACTGCAAGAAGAAAATGCACATCTAGAAAAACCCCAAGAAAGAAAATACAATTGCAATAAGAAAGGACTACATTTCAACGAAAAGGGATGATCATCAAATAGGAAGGAATAGTTAAATCAGATACAAAACACGTTCGCCATTATGCTACAGAGAGAGAGAGGGGTATGGAATGGCTGATTTGAGTTCCCCCAATCACCCCAAACCAAAAATAGGGCACAGAGAGAGAAACAGAGACAGAGAGAAGATGCATGGCCTAAATTCATAACCCAGGAAACCCAATTACCACTGAAAAGAACCAAAACCCCAAAAAAAATAGAGGGAGAGGGGGTATAGAGATATAGAGAAAGAGAGAGAGAGAGAGACGGATGATCAATGAGGCATGAGAGATGACAAATATTCAGGACCCCATTAAAACCGAATCGCCACAAAACCAAACCAAAAACCTACAAAAAAAAAGGCCTCGAAGAGAAAACACGAATGAGAGAGAGAGAGAGAGAGAGATAATCAATAAAGAATGCCTAGAATGACCGAATTAAGGTCGCCATGAGAACCCAATCAACACTGAGGCAAATCAAAAAGCATAACAAAAAAAAACAAAAAAAACAAAAGGCAGCGAGAGAAATAGATAGAAAGAGAGAAATCATAATGCAATCAAATACCTCCGGTCTTGAGTATATACCCAAATCACCAGAGAGGGGTCGGCTCTCCTTAACCTCTATGATCACATTTGTGGTTCCAGGTAGCTCAGGAGGCCCACTGTCTAGGGTTATCAACACAGAGTCGAAAATATCAAGCCTCTGCAATTTCGCATTCGCTAAACCAGCAGCTTGAAGAAGCTCCTGAACACTACCTGCCTTTCTCAAAGCCTCCTCAACCTCTCTCTCTATCAACCAATCCTTAGTCTTCTCATTCCCTTTGATGACTATGTCATGGACTCTAATGGCGACTTTCCCCCTTTGTAGCCTTTGCACAAGCTCCTGCAACTTCCGCTCTTCTCCTCCCATACCCCTTCCATTTAATGTCTCTCTACTTTCTCTCTCTTCCCCTTCTTCTTCATAATCCTCTTCCTCCTCTTCTTCATCCTCGCTTTCTTCCTCTTCTTCCTCCTCTTCTTCTTCTTCTTCTGAGATTTCTGGTTCAGTGGCCTTTGTGGGTTTCTTTTCTTCCTTCTCGTCTTTTTTAGCCATGGGAGCAAAAAAATGAGGTAAACGGAAATGGGGTTTTAGTTTTCAGAGTAGAGAGAACAACTATGCTGGTTTTGCATAATGTGAATCAGCGGCTCTGTTTTTGCGCTCTTTCTGTCTCTTCGGCAGCTCACATTCCCTCTCTTCATGAGTTTCTCTCAAAATTTAGTCAGTTCCTTTTTCTCTCTCTTAAAATACATTCAAGGGCGTTTGAGTACCTGAAAATAACACAATTCCTTTTTCTCTCGCTTAAAATACATTTGGGGGCGTTTGAGTACCTGAAAATGACAATAAATTATAAGAAAATATGGCATTTCCACAATTTGAATACACTTCATCATAAAGACATGAAAATAGATTATATTAGACTTTTCAAAAATCAAAAATTTCATTACGCTCAATGATAAGTGAAAAATTTATTACGAGAGTGACGAATAATTTTGAAAAATCTTTTGTATGCGTTTTTGTCTACCCTGATTAAAAAAATTATCTCTGCTAAGCCCTCATTTCATAATAACTAGCATAGATGATCTCTCCATTTTTAAACTCATCCCTTTATCTGAAGGCATCAGTTATCATATAAAAACAAATATAATAAAAATAAAAATTAATAATCAATTATAAATTACACAACACAGTCATAATAAAAAATTTCACACAACATCATTTTCATAAGAGATTACTAAAATCTCAATTGAAATAACATATATTTTTAGTCTCCTCCAATACCTCAAAAGTTTATACTGCAATTACCAAACCTTCTAAGTTACTAATCAAACTTCTTCCCATTTTTTAACTCATACCATAGAGATTTTGAATTTAGTATCATAAATTTATTGTTGATGTGAAATTATATAGAGAGACATTTGAAAGACTTTTATAATAAATAAATAAAAATAAGGCTTATCATAATAAAATCATGTTATTTCAATCATATTGTTCCAATGACTTATCATATTGAAATCAATGTCATGTTAAAAGACATGTGATTCCATGTAAGTGCCAAAGGCACATAAAATAAATAGGAAATAGTGTCATGATGACTGTAAAATAGTACAAGTTATTATTAGAAAATCTTTTTGGAATGGTGCTAATGTTATTATTAGAAATATTTTTGGATTGGTATGATGATAATTTTAATTCCGTATTTTAGTGAAATTTTGTGACAAAAAAGAAAAAATGATAATTCTGCATTTTAGTGGAATTTTGTGACCAAAAAGAAATAAATGATAATTCTGCATTTTAGTGGAATTTTGTGACAAAGAAAGAAATGATAATTCTATATTTTAGTGGAATTTTGTGACAAAAAAGAAAGAAATTATAGTTTATATGCACGTACTAGTAAAATGTTAGTAATACATTTCCTATATTTCTTCCAGACATAGCCAAACAATAACAATATATTTCCCAGGTTGCATCTAAATACTACCCAAGCAGTAACAATCTATTTACAAGTAATGTATTACACAATAATGTATTACGTCAGTAATATATTTCACAAACAATATATTTCTGGGTATCCAAACGGCCCTAAATGTTTTTTTAATAAAATTATTATTTATAACTTTTAAAATCATTTATTTTTTCATATTCGTGATCTTTATGTTGGATATTACATGTTTTTAAATAAAGTCCAAAATCCAGTGGTCGTATTTCTACATGTGCCCACATACTATTCGCGTCTCTTAGAAAATCCCTTTTATGTCTAATTATATATACAATCGCGCGTGTGTGTTGAATACACTTGAATTGAGTCGATGGATTCAACTTCATTGGAAGGTATATATACAATCCCTTACTTTTCTCTTGCCTTCTCATCGCTCTATATTTTTTTTTTTTCTTTTATTCTCTCTTCCCTCCCAAATAGGTAATCTCTCTCTCAAAGCTTTGCTTCTTTTCTACTACCTCCATCAAACCTACTGCACTCCAACTTCCTTTTGAAAAATGGTAGACTTTCCCACCCACCAATTGCAATTGAAAATTCATCATACCCATGAAAAACCCCCTCCTACCGGCACCAAAACCAAGTTTTTAGAGGTATTCCTCTCTCTCTCTCTCTCCATTTTTTTGTGTGACGATTTGGATTTTGGGATTCAAAGCTGGGTTATGGCTTGGAAGGTGTACGTCTCATACATGTGATATTTGGATTGAAGCAGAATTCTCCAAACACTGAGCCTATTACTCGCCGATTGTCTCAATATTGCAGTAAGAAAGATCCACCTTCTCAGTGCTTGCTTTCTCTTGACTCTAGTTGAAAATTGTTGATATGGGTTGCTCCTCTTTTAACTGAACTTTGGATTCATCTAATTGATTTTAAAATTCTGTTGTGTAGGTGTTCTAGCTCTACACTGCTTCTACTTAAATTTGTAAAGACATACTTATTTTGAATTGATATGGCCATTGTAGGCTATTTGCTTATGATACTTGGGTGATCTCTCTCTGTCTCTTCTCTTGTCTTCTTTTTTAAAAAAAATAAAAAATTTGTATCTACTTGTTAGCCGACAATGTTTTATAGCCTTTGATGACTCACTCAAATCCGTATATTCATGATGATGATGAAGAAGGTGAATAGGGGAATTTTCCCTTCAAAATGACGAGCCACCTCTCAAGTGTTCCCTCATTTATGAGGCAAAGAGATTGCTTCTTTCTGCTTGCTTTGTCATATGTTATAAATGAAAGTTATTCACTCTCCACCCTGTTATGTACTATGAACCTAAGTTTTTTTTTAATTATTTGGAGTGAGAATTTGCAATTTCTTATGATTGTTGGATATTTTAAAAAGGTAAGAGTGTATGAGGCTTCGATTGTTTAGAAGATGCAAGTTTGTTCTTGAATGGAAGTGGTTAAATTATTGCTCCGCTCCTTTAAGACAACGAGTTCAGTCGTGTTGCAAAACGAGGTATTCTTAAAGGTTTAGTAAACTCCTCACGTTGTTTAGTTATTAAGTTAAGAGTAACAAGTCTCAATAGCTTACCTCCAGCAGCTGGCTTTCTTTATCCAGTGCATATTAGCTTAGCTGCGCTCAATGGGCCCAGGTTTGGCTTGATGAAAATAGTTCTCAATTGATGACTCCCTCCAACAACCACTCTTCCGTTGGAGAAGATTGAAAATAACCTTCAGTGAGAAATGAAATAAACATATGTTATTAAACATTAAAATGAGAGAACATTACAACCAGTAAACACTGGAGAATAGAAGTTAATCGATTTTACTTTACTTACTCAAATATGAGCATTAGAGGACATTCCCAGATTTGCATAAATGCCTATTTAATCATGCCATTGCTCGAGAGCTTTTGTACATCAAATTGAGACCTTCAATAGTGTTTATACATCTAAATAAGACCATTGAAGAACCTCAAATGAGAAAATGACATGCCATCAAGAGCCTTTATACATCGAAATAAGATCACTAAAGACCCTCAAAATGCCAAAAAAAATATGCCTGTCAAGAGCCTTTATACACAAAAATAATACCATTTTAGAGCCTCAAAATGCAAAACAAGCATGCCCATCAAGAAGTTTTGAACATCAAAATTAGATGATTCAATCATTATATTTATAAACCTACCATAAGTCAAAATCGGCCGAACTTATTGCATCAAAAAAATTCTATCCATAAAGAAAAATAAAAGTTGAATTTTGTAATTGGGTAAACCATGAGTTGATCCTAACCCACGCCATACGACGATAGTGAGTAGCCTCGTAAAATACTCCATGTCTCAAAGGAACTGCAACATCTGAGCCACATACACATACAATCAGGATATACCAACATCGATGAATACCAATTATACAAACCAAGTTGAAATTGTCAAGGGTACTAGAAAACACATAAAATTGTTGTAACTATGAGCTTCTGAGCATGTTCACCTTCACATCTGACCAACTTCCTTTGCAAACAAAATATTACTCAATCTACATGCACCTTTACTCATCTGTCAACCATTATTAGTAGCACATTTGACATATCAAAAACACAAGCAGTAAAAAATCTACCAAATATCAAGGTTTAAAACTACGTGTTAGTCATTGACCCACATTTGTATGTTCTTTCTAATGCCATGTGCACTTGTTTTGACAAACTTACCTAAATTGTAGAGCGAGAGACTTGGATCTTTGAAGTCACATGAGCATATAGCTTCTTTAGTGGGGTCCTAGCAATAAGCAAGTATTTTAAGAACCACAAAAAATAGCCTTGAAATAGTAAGATTTGAAGAAAAAGAAGGATAATAATATGTATCATACCATATTGTTGCCAAGGGAGTTGTTTAAACATTTAATGTTCATTATCAAACAAGTACACATATTGTGGCCTTCTTGATTACACATATTGCACCTTGTCTTCTTTCTCGAAGGCTTCTCCCATGGAGCTTTATAACTTTCAACTGAAGGGCGGCCATTTGTCTTTGATCGTTGGGGATCATGCAAAACAAAATCACACTCCGAGCTATATACGTTTCTCCTTTGACTCCCATTCTCAAGTCCTTCCTTGTTACTCCCACTACTCTTGTCTATTGTTTTAAGATGTATTGAGTTGGGATAACATGAACTTGTTCTCAAGTGAATACTGTCAAAATGTGCCTACAAAGGATTCCAAAAAATTCAAATATTTTGCAGCTACATTTTGCTTCAAGTTTTGATGCATTGAACTTTACTATAAATTCTCTGCAATTGTTATCCTATGTTGTTAACTTGTATGTATTGATTTCTCCATGGTCTACCTTTCTTGCGATAATTGAGATAACTTCATTGAGCTTCTTTTCAAGTACCTTGAAGATATTCCTAGTATATGCATCCAGAGCTTGCTTCTCCATGGGCAATTCTGTATTTAATGTTCGAGTGGAGTAACTAGTCATATGATCCTCCTAGGTTTCGAAGTGATACCGCCTATTAAGCGCCTCATCATGTTTCATCGAATTTTCAAAAGTGGTACATGATTGTACATACCGTTTAAAATAAGAATTAATAATATTACTTCAGTAGGTGGTGCACTTATCTATAAAGAACGTGTCCTAAAGGAATATTGGGACCCATTGCTTCCGTATCTCATACAATAAGTTAAGCTATCCATGGGTCTTTAGGTTATACTTATCAATAAGAGGCCCCCATGAGATGACTAAAACTCATCAATTGTTTCAACCATATTAACACATTTGTATAACTCCCATGAAAAAGAAGGATATTTAAGGCAAACG